TTGGTGCAATAATTGCTACTTAAAATCTTAAAGGGACATTGAATAACAACAAAAACCAATGCTTAGAAGAGAAGGCATGTTGTGGGCATGGGCGTCAAACATGGACTCTTTTGTCCAACAACTTTTCCATCTTTCTACTTCCAATCTATGATGCAAAGATGGTCACGCCAAGAATAGCTACAAAATAATTCAAACAAAAGAGAAGGCTTCATTGCGGGAGGAAAACAAATTACATTAGCCCAATGTAAGTGGAATCTAGATGATTTTTAATCCTTCTCTTTTGGGGAAGTAATCCCATCAAACAAAATGACCAACTTCTCCCTATATATTATTTTTTATACTTTTTTAACAGACAATCTATAATTTTATTTTTATTTTTTTAAAACAAATCATATCATAAAAACCCTATTTCTACGTGTAGAAAAATATTTGTGATTAGGAAAAATTAATATAAGTTTTTTGATGGCGGAATTGTATGGATTAATGAGCCGTTGAAGTAATTCATTGAAGAAATGATGATTGAACTATATGATTTAACTCGCCATGTTGTGGTTCATCTTATTATCCTTGCAAAACCAAGAGGACCACACTAACGAGAGGAAAAATAGTAGCATATCTTCTTTTTCCAAAAATTTAGAAAGTATATGCACTAAATTTTAAATTCAAAGTTATGAATTAGTTAGTTTTTTTAAGATTTTAATGTTTTTTAAAATAGTAATAATAAGTATATTTGTTATTATTGCAAGTGTAAACTTAATTTTTTTAATAATATTGAAAACTCTTTAGACTACACTATAATATATTTTAATTTTTTAATTAAATTTACCTATTTAAATTAATTTTATATAATAAATAGATTAATTTTTTAGTTTTTGACTAATTAGTGTATTTGCCTACCAACTCACTTTTACGTAAAGCAGAGCAAAATGTTCAATTTGCTTCATTTGATGAAACAACTTGACCGACTTTTTATTTTCAAATTAGAGACAGATTGGACTGATTATACAGTTTTATTATCCCTAATTTCTTGAAGAGTCTTGTCACTAATTGATTTTCTAACTAAAACTTTAGCATTTACATCTATCATTTTCTAAGAAAATAAACCTTCAATGCATACTAATATTTTACTTTTGCTTAAGCATTGAAGTTTTCTAATCACGATTGTTCCTAACTTGATTGATGACAAATTGTTTCGAAATTATTAGTTTTTATCTTTTTAGTTCCTATGGCCAATTTCAATTTAACTGTGTCCAACACTCAATCTTCATAAAAAAAAACTATGTACCTCCATTCTGTTCAACAGGACTCACATGACGTTCTAAAATGGAGATTTTTAGCATTTATATTCACCATTATAATTAATGATTTTTTAGTACCACATATGTAAGAACTTATTTTATAAGCTTACAAGAAAAAAAATTAAATTAAATAGAGAACAAATAATTCCTAATTTTGAAATTTCAAATATTTCATCTTTTTAAAATATTTAAGTTTCTTTTTAATATTTTTGAGATAGTTTCTTATCTTTTCTTTAATAGATGTTTAGAAGAGGATATAAAATATGATAATTATCGAATCCGATTATTTTTTTTAGTGTGTTTTTATTTTCTCTTAAATTTTTTTTTTTGTCTTCTTTTTGTTTGTGCATGTACAAAGTTATAGTGATAACACGTGACATTGAGCAAAATTTATGTTAATAATATATGATACATTATATACAAATCTCGAATTTTATGTGAGGTTATTTTTCGTGATAAATACATTATTTGCGATTATGAAAGCAATAAGAAAAAAAGTATTAATAAATAATTATTGACAGTTTTGATCAGCTGTCATTATTTGTAGGATTTTTCAAAACCATCGTTATTTGTGAAGGTTTTACAAAATTATTACTATTTGTGAGATTTTTCAAAATTATTACTATTTGTGAGGTTTTTCAAAATTTTCGCTACTTGTTAGGATTTGTTAGAGTCGTTGTTAAAGTTCTCTAAAACAGTCATTCTGGAGTTTCCGAAACCCATGTTATTTATTAGGGTTTTTTTAAATCGTTGGAATTAAAAATCATTTTATTTTTTTATATTTTTAAAATTATTTGATTATCATAAAAATGATTTAATAATAAAATACTCAATCAAATAGTATGTGTGCATAATGCACACATGAACATTATCTAACTACTTATATTATATTTTAAATACGAGTTGAGACAAAAAAAATCATTTTAATTTTTTATTATTATTGAAATTATTTTATTATCATAAAAAGGTTTTAATAATAAAATACACAATCAAATATTTTGAAACTAAAACTAAATATTGTTATATAAAATAAAGTAAAATTAAATATAGTGATTTCCATCTTTACAATCCATCTTGAATCCAGACAAAATATCTTTTGTGACTAACTCATAAATCTACCCATCTTGTTCAAGATCAAACATGGATCCTGGCCCTTTTCTAACATAGTCTTTTCCAATTATTTTTTTTGTTTGTTTTTGTTCTTGGAGAATACATTGAAGATACCTTTTTCCTGATTCTTTTTTTGACTTGGACTTTCTTGAACCACCATAACAAAAACAATCATGATGACCTACATTCACAATGCATCTTTGGTCTTTTCTTAAGACACTAATGGATCATAATCGTACAATGTCTCCCTATTGAACACAGTTTCAATACCAACATATATTAGACCTTAAATCCTGTCAAGCACTTTCGCAATTATCTATAATGAAAGCAATATTGAATAGAAATCGTTCAAAATGAGCCAATAAGATGAAATTTGCACATATTTGTGAAATTAGTTTTTAGAAAAATGGTCTTACATCAAAGAACACAAAGTTGCGATTAGCATATCTATCATGGTGACCATCAAATCTTTGTAGAAATTGAACATAGCACAACTTCTTCCCAAGGTTGAGGTCCATTAAAAAGCACATAGTTTCTCTTATTACCTTGTTCACAATCCAAATTCAACATGAATGGTGCATTCATAAGCACAACAAAAATTCAAACCTTTAAAGGATACACAACAGAAGAAGAGTTCAAAAATAGTTTCTAATATTTCGATCTATTAGAACTAAACAATACAATATCAAATTTTTGTTCTTACCAAAGCATTCATGGTGTGGATATCCAGATTGTTTTTCACGTGAAATATACATAAGTTGTGGCAATTCCTTACCTTCAACATCTAGTGCACCAACACTTTCTAATCAGGAATATTGGGATACACTTGAAAGACTTATGAGATACCTAAGAGGTTCAATAGATTATGTCATTAAATATAGTGGATTTCTTGCAGTACTAAAAAGATATAGTGATGCTAACTAAATATCTGATTTTGATGAGACAAATTTCATTAATGGTTATGTATTCATACTTGGCGTGGTGCGAATACATGAAGATTCGACAGAAAAACATTATTGTAAGATCAACAGTAAAACATGTGTTTGTTGCTCTGGAAATGGTTGGTAGTGAAGCTGAGTGGTTGAAAAACTTCTTAGCAAACATTTTACTAGAAATGAAACCAACCCCATTTATGTCAATATATTATGATTGTTAATTGAAAATAGCTATAGCTAAAAAAAAGAATTACAGTGAAAATAATAGACATATACAATTGAAACATAGTGAAACAACTACTAAAGAGTGAAATTATTTCCATTAACTATGTGAAGTTATAACGAAATCTAGTAGCTTCTCTAACTAAATCCCTAAAAAGAAACATGATATATTAGAAACATTGAGGAGAATGAGACTTAAGTCACTTGAAACACGAACAAGTGATGATAACTCAACCTTTGTGTGTTAGGTTTCTCAATCTAGGACTGATTCATATAATTTAGTATACCATATCTGATGCATTACATTCTATATAAGGTCCATAATTTTCTTCTTTCATTCTTTCGTTTGATTTTATGATGTGTGGGGTTGTTATAAAAATAATAGGCTTAATTACCTCCTAATATAGGGACTAAGTAGGTAATTAAGCCAAAAAAAATATATCACAAAATAAAATATTACTACTCTACAATCTTCGGTTTTGTTACGGATTCAAATGGTCGTGTGATATTTTGTAGGACGTTAGATGCAAATTCTATACCCTCCTTCACAAGTTTCAATATGTTACATGCAAGAGTTTTCAATTGTTGGTTGATGGGTTTTGAACCCACCTCCTCTTTATTATAAATAGAACCTCATTCTCTTTCGAAAGAGAACACATACATCTAGTTCATTCTCTCTTTTTGTCTCATATTTGTTTTCTTCTTCTCTAATATCATAGGTTATTTATTATTATAGTTTCTAGCTAGTTTTATGATCTTCAAAATATTCGAGAAGTTTTTATTATATCCTATAAGATTTCCACAACACCTCAAATAAATATTTAATAGTAGGATCTCGTACGTTTCAAAAATCAATTGTGTTTTTGTGAGTTTTTACAACATCCATATTATCTTATTTTTTTACGTGTTAAAGAATCCTATCAAATTACTTAAATTGATTGACTTTGATACCCCTAATTTAAATATGTATTTGTTGTACAACTTATAATACATAAACAATATTATCATAAAAACATGTAAACGAAACATATGGAAGAATTGTGGAAACATTTAAATTTGATTTATTTTGTAAATAAAAATTCATGCAATATATTAAAAAAAAACATTGTGAGCAGTTTGTGAATGATGTTCTAATCCAAAATTCCTAAAATAAAATTTCCATGAAGCTTTGCAAATTCTTCTAGCCAACCACACCAAATTGCAAGCCTGTAACAAGTTGCGCAAATGACAGGAATATTCTTGAGAGAGTAAATGTTAGTCAAGTTAGTTGAACTCCTTTATCATTCTCACATCTACCTATGCTCCATTGTCGTGTGTGTGTGTATATATATATATATATATATATATATATATATTATATATATATTATATATATATATATATATATTATATATACATATCTGGTTTAATCAAACACAATCTCCTTCATCTAAGATATATGATGCTCTCATCCCTCATGGCTTTTCAAATAGGAGTGATTCTGACAGCTCTCATAGTGGGTTCAGTAAATTCGGTTACCGGACAAGTTAGCAGTTCTTGCACAACCTCTATGATGAACAGTATCACACCATGCGCCAACATCATCACAGGAAGCACTAATAATAATGGTTTAAAGCCACCAAGTACGTGTTGTGATTCACTGAGGTCTTTGATGAACACCAACACCAACTGTGCTTGCTTTCTGCTCTCTGCCAATGCTCCATTTTTCCAACTACCCCTCACCCTTGCCCTCTCATTTTCACAAGCATGCAACATCAATGGACTTCCTTTGCAGTGCAAAGGTTTGCATCTGTTACACTCACAAGCTTTAGCTTTCCCATTTTCATTTCTCATTATCAAATTACATTCTAATACTCTTCTTTTCGCAGCTTCTGCTTCTCCTTTGCCAGCTCCAGGTATTTTGCATTTTCCCAGATTATCAAAATTTATACCTTCCTCGGTTTCTAAATATATATTATTTTTTGTTAGGTCCTGCAGTTCTTGGGTCGAACGCTCCAACCCTATCACCCTTAAGCCCACAAGGTTCGTGAAAATTGGCCTTAACAAAAGACATGAATATAATGCTACTGCTTTTTAAATTTGGAAAGTAACGAAAATTGGTTTGTACACTAATTTATAAGAGAAGTTTATAGCAGATTCAAAAATGGTTGAAGAAGAGAAATATCAGAAAGTTCAATTGTCGGCGGCGTCAGTTCCGGCGGAAGCAGAAGCACCCAGTAGAAGTAGAATTCCACAGATCAGACCAGTGTTGACTCCACTTCCTTCGCCATCTCGTTCATCTTTTCTCTCATCACCACCTTATGATTTTCTCGTAGGAATCGTGCTTTTGTGCCTCTATTCCTAATTTTTATTGTACAATGAATAACACCAAAACCCTAATCCAATCACTCTGCACAACCTGCTTTCTCTATGTTTCTGCTTATTCATACAAATAATAATGTTCTAGTAAATAGTAATGAAAGATTGAAACTTCACGGTCTCATTTCATGCATGGTTTCAATTTTGGATACTTTAAGCGACACAATGTCCGATTTCTTGATCGTTTCATCGTCTGCATGTTTATGTGACTCATCAATCTTAGCCAAATTACCACTGCTGCAACAAGTTTCAGAAATCGGATATGAACAAGGTATCGGATATGAACAAGGTATAGAGATGATTCAGGTGGTGTTTCGGACAGAATCTTAAGATTTTATAAAAAAATGAAATATTTAAATTTGAATTATTTTATTTAATGTTTTTATTTTTTTAAATATTTTGGTTGAGTTAATTAATTGATTTTTTATTTTAAATTTTAAATTTGGATTAGATAATTTGATTTGAAACAAATAAGTGTATATACATATAAAAAATAAAACTTGTTGTTTTAGGAAATTCTATTTAATGAAGGAATTTGTTAAGTAAGTACTCTTTATAAGACCAAACAAAATTTTCAATTAATATAAAATTTTAAATCATTAATGTTGAACAAAAAATGAGAGTCAAAAACCCATACGATTTCTCGTATAGTATAACAAAGACAAGAGCTTCAAAGGTGTTGAATGTTTTAATTTTTGGAAACTAAGCAAACAAAAGACATGTGCGTTTACAATTCTATATATGAATTTTCAGATTTTTTTTTACAAATATTTGATTAAAATTTATGATGGCCAAAAGAGATGCACAAAATGAAACATATAAGACAATTCTTATTTCAACTATAGAACGAAAGTTAATTAATATTGCTAACAGTGAAGGATTTGTTTAAATGATTTTTTTTATTTTAATTGTAAGTTTACAATTTTGTATAGGTTTAAACATTTTAGACAAAAATGATCTTATATATAAATTTAAACACTTTTGGGGGGATTTTTTCCTGCACCCCAAGTTTTTTTCTGCACCACCATAACTATAGTGAGATGACTTAAGTACCCTTCACTAAAAAATTATTTAAAACCCAAATATTTCACCTAATAGCTTTTGGGATTTTTCTCATTTTCTGCATTGATGAACCAAAAGGTTTACGGGGATGCCACAGAGTGAGGAGGAGAAAGAAAAGTTCGCTTTCCTCGGTGGATAGCTCTTGCTCACAATTTCGAAGCTTTAATTCAATAATTTTTCCGCGTTTCGAACCCCAAAACAGAGTAAGTAAGGATTGGTTTGCTCGCATTGGGTTATCATGTGTGTTTTGACTCTTGAGCACCAACTATTTGATAAAAGAATCCAACCATTTCTTTGAATTTAATGTTACTCTGTTTATATTCTCCGCAATGATTCTGACACTCTTCTCCTTCGTTACTCTCTGCTAAAGAGGGAAAGTCTCTTCATTGAAGATAGATAGATGTATTTCCACTGACAACGTTGTCAAGTAACGAAAATGCTGCTTCTTCAAACTGTTGTCTCGACGCTTTTCACCTGCTTCTTTAAAGTGAAATGGACCGAGTTACATTGACCCATAAAACTAAAACCCAAAGCAAGGGCGTTGATTGATTGATTCAGGGCTTAGCCTCCCTCCACGGTGGCAGATCGAAGCCGGGTACGGTGGTTTCATGGTTGGCTTTTGTGTGTTGATGGGCAGAGCAGAGCTGAGCAGTGAACAACAAACCAAGTGGTTGCTGGTCGCTGTTTTCTGTTTATCAAATGAAATGAAATCATGGGCATCAACAACTTACTCATATCCTGGTGAGACATTAATTCTTACATTTTCCCCACTTACTAGCGACCCACTTAGTTTATGAGATTATATTCACTTCTTTTATGATTTATAGTGATGACAGTACCAACTTTCAAACTTTTATCGGGTTTCTGCCGTTGTTCATGTCTGTCGACTCTTTTCTTTCTTTGTAATAACTTTGTAGTTTGTGAAAAGTGCTTAAGGAATGATGCCAAAGAAAGTTTTAATGTTTGTGTCACAAGTTTTAGACTTCCATTTTAACCTGTATAATTATATCGGTTTTCTGAAGATGTTTTATCTACTTACAATTGTAATAATTCTGAATTTTCAATTTTATTTTTGGCTGTTACAATGATGCACTTCTAAACCTGCTTTTGTTTTTGTTTTACTAGACTCCTCTTGTTGAAACTAAGTTTCAACAATACTCATTCCACCTTTTGAGCATAACTCTGATTTGTTTGTATTATTTAGTGTAACATTTATTATCCATTTTGTTTACCAACGGATACTGTGATTGTGCAGGTTTTTATTGATTTCGTTCTTAAATTCATCTTCCCAAAATTGCTTATAGTTGAAGATGCTTGGAGTGAGAAAGCTCAAAACAGGGCCTGATATCCCTTTGGTTTTAAGTGTCATGGTTGCTAATTGCAATTATAGAACAGCCCAAGTTTCCAGTGGCAAAAGTGTCAGGTATATTGTTAAGTCGGCTGTCTCTTGTTTAGTTAAATCAAGTTCATCAGCATTTCTACTGGGATCAGGGAATAAATTTTCTCTTCAAGGACTATATTTCTCTAGTGTGGCTGAAAGAATCCTGGTTCATGCTCAAGACCCTGCCAAAGTTAGTTTGGAGATACAAAATGCTATCGATTTGAATCAATTAGATTATTCGTGGAAATTATTGGAGCAGCATATGCACATGGAGGGGTTTCCCAGAAAATCAGTCATCAGTAAGCTTGTAACAAGCTATGTGGACAGCCTTGATACGAAATTGCTAGGAAAGGCTTATGAGTTGGTAGAACGTGCTATTGAGAAAGGTAGACAAGATTTGTTGGAAAAGGATGTACTTATCTACCTCAGCTTTGGCCTTGCAAAAGCCAGACTACCAGTTCCAGCATCAACCATTTTAAGAAAGATGATAGATATGGAGCATTTTCCCTCAGTCACTGCTTGGTCTGCAGTTTTAGCGCACATGTCACAAACAGCAGAAGGAAGTTACCTTGCTGCGGAGTTGATTCTTGAAATAGGTTATTTATTCCAGAACAATAGAATAGATCCGCGTAAAAAGAGCAATGCACCTTTGATAGCCATGAAGCCAAACAGTGCTGCTTTTAGCATTGCTTTGGCAGGGTGCCTCCTATTTGAGTCATCTAGGAAGGCAGAACAGCTTCTGGATATGATGCCTCGAATTGGTGTCAAAGCAGATGCACACTTACTGATAATAATGGCACGTGTATACGAGAGAAATGGGCGAAGGGAAGAGCTCAAGAAGCTGCAAAGGCACATAGAGGAAGCCCCAAATCTAACTGATTTACAGTTTCGACATTTCTATAATTGTTTATTGACATGCCATTTGAGATTTGGGGATCTAGATTCTGCATCAAACATGGTTTTGGAAATGCTTAGGAAAGCAAAGGAAGCAAGAAATTCTCTTGCAGCTGCCAAATTTATGATGAATGCCGATGGAATTGACCATAACCGTTCTCCGGAATTGGCTTCTGTCCATAGTTTGAACAAGATTAAAGATTTAGATAGTTTACAAAATAACAGGTCAAATTCAAGTGCTGTATTATCTTATGAGGAGTTCTCTAAAGATAGGAACTTCTCAAAGCTTGAGGCAGAGTCCAAAGCTATACTTGATTCTTTATTATCAAAGTTGCAGATGCGGGTGGACTTGATCACAACCAAGCATGGTATATTGCAGCCAACTGAAACAATTTATGTAAAATTAGTTAAAGCTATGCTAGAAGCTGGCAAGACCAAAGATTTAGCTGTATTTCTTCTCAAGGCAGAAAGAGAAGATTCTCCATTTTCCAATGACAATTCAGCTTTGGTTCATGTTATTAACGCGTGCATCTCACTTGGATGGCTGGACCAAGCACATGATCTCCTGGATGAAATGCGTCTAGCCGGAGTTAGAACTGGTTCATCTGTATACTCCTCTCTTTTGAAAGCATATTGCAGGGCGAATAGGGTGGCAGATGTCACATCGCTTCTGAGAGATGCTAAGATAGCTGGTATCCAGCTTGACTCAAGCTCTTATGAGGCAATGATCCAATCCAGAGTTCTCCAGCAAGACACACAGGGTGCACTCCAACTTTTTAAAGAGAGGAAAGAGGCTAGAATTCCAAGAGTCACTCAACAAAACTCTGGCATGATGGCTAAAGAGGGAGCGGATACTGAAGAAGCTGGGCTAATGACCAAGCTGTTACAGGAAATCAAGGAAGGGCAGAAAGTGGACTGTGGAGTGCATGACTGGAATAATGTAATCCACTTTTTTTGCAAGAAGAGACTGATGCAAGATGCAGAAAAGGCTCTAAAGAAAATGAGAAGCTTAGGCCACTTACCAAATGCTCAAACTTTCCATTCTATGGTCACAGGGTATGCTGCCACTGGAGGAAAATATCAAGAAGTGACAGAGCTGTGGGGTGAGATGAAAGGTCTTGCTTCTTCTGTCTCCATGACGTTTGATCAGGAACTTCTTGATTCTGTGTTGTATACGTTTGTAAGGGGTGGATTCTTCGTTCGAGCCAATGAAGTTGTGACCATGATGGAAAAAGGAAACATGTTTATTGACAAATACAAGTACCGAATGCTGTTCTTGAAATACCATAAATCACTTTACAAAGGGAAGGCTCCGAAATTTCAGACAGAATCCCAACTAAGCAAAAGGGAAGCAGTCCTGGCTTTTAAAAGGTGGATAGGCTTGACTTGATGAAAGTTTAAACCAAATCAAGGCACTAGCTCTTGCAAGTTTCAAAATCCAAACGATCAACTTCATAACTTGTGGCTGTATAATTTTTGTTCTATCTCCTCTCAGGTTTGAAGGTTTAACACTAATGTATTGCCAATGTGAATAAACCAACATCTTATTTTGTGTAGAAAATTTAAGTTACACATCTTCAGTTCCATTATTTTAAGGCAACAAATAGAAGATGGTGTGGCACATACTTTCATGCTTACATAACTGATGGCCATAAATATTTGTTGATGTATTTTGTCAATGGGACAAACACATGCTCCGCTGAGAACATTGTTATTTGTGAATTCTGATTTCTGACACAACACGGTTGTGACAAGCAATGAAATGAACAGAACTTGCGTGATTGTAATTTGTAGTACATGCTGGGCTCAGCTATACATCATAAACCGGATAATAACATTAATAACAGTAGCAGGATGGGGAAAACAAGAGGTTTTTCCTGCACTGCACGGGCAAGCATAAAAAAATGGGCCATAGGAAGACAATTCCTGAACAGAATGAACCACTATCTTACTCCAACAATGATATCACTTGCTGAAACATGCCACTGACATTTTTTCACAGCAAAATTGTAGAAAGACTAATACTATTTTAACATCAATTTTCTTCAATAACTTTTTACAATTTACGTTTTTCTCCATTTATATCAGTAACATGTACCCTATCTCAAGGTTTTTTATTCTTTTCATATATTTTTTCTTTGTAAAAAGTATTAAGAGGAGTATCTAATTAGAAAAAAAGAACTACACACACGTGTGTATATGTACTATAAATTACCGGAAAGTTCACTCTCAAACTATAAAAAACTGAGATACGGTCGTGCTTGAAATACAGTGAAATCAAACACTTATTTATGCAACAAACTCATCTCAATTAAGTTAGTTCAAAATTTATTAAGGTGAGGCAACACCTACTGCTAGAAAAAGGAAAAAAGTAGGGAGCCAAAACACTTTTTCTTTATCTTTTTTTAGTTGTTTCTTATTGAAGGTGTTGCCTCTTTAAACTGCAGTCATTAGGATGCTTTTGATGTGTTGATTTGACGAACAAAACAAACTAGCATTTGACAATGACGTAATCGAAATTTAATTAATATTAGCTGCAAAACAAAGTCCAATAATTGGGCAATTACCAAGAATAACGAACTTAACGTGTTTAGGAACAGTTGCTTTATATTCTTTTTTACTTCCATTGAATTGATTTAAGTGTTAGCATTATTTTAAATATAAAATAAATATTATAGCATTTTCAGTTCCTATTTTTAAGGAACATAAAGTGGTCCATTAAGCCATTATTTTTTATGCTTTTAACTGCAGAGATGTTTATAGATCCGTTATTAATTTTTAAACGTAAAGCCCATTTATTTTGAAACCATGTGATGGCCCAGGACGTTTATAATAAGGGAATGGGTTACTCTCTTTTGATCACTAAGCCTACTCCTCTATTCAGAAAAACAACACCATCGAGTTTGAGTGAGTCAAGGTTTAGAAAACAAAGCTGTCTTGTTTTTATATTTACAAAATTGCAATGGCAGGAGGTACGCACATTATTCTTTCATTTTTTCTTCCGCTGTTTTTGATCTGAATGTGTTACTGTGATGTTAATATAACATGTTTAGGTCAATTTCATACTCTGCTATTTTATCATTAAGAGCCAAAAAAAACTCGTGATGAGGTTAACATGCTTGACCAATTTTTTTGTAACTAGTTATAATGCTAGTATAATAATATATAAAAATGCCAGGGATTTATAAAAAGCAAAACACATGTGTTGTCTAAAGAGACCCTTTTTCGATGAGGAAAATGCACAAACAACTGAAATGCGTGAATGCATTAACTTTATACAAGGGTATATGGGTTGAGCATCAGATTCATTGGTGGTTTTGTCCTATAAAACACTTGTTTACTTGAGCATTTATTAAGAAGGTTAGTGGAAGTTGCATTCATGATGGTGGTCCACATTTTAGATTTTGACAACTTAGACGTGAGTCATTATTGGGGTCAGAAAATTTCTTCTGTGAAAGGATCAATTAGTCAAGCAAAAGTACACTTTGCTACGTACATCCTTTTTCTCTTACATAGCTAAAATAATTTTGTCATTCTTTAAGGGATTAGCTTTTTTGATATTTATCACCAAAAAATTCTAAACCAGACGATCCAAGAAGGACCGCAAGCTTTTGTTTTTGGTGTAACAAATTATTTAGACAACATCATTCTTGTTAACATTATGCGAATTCAACTTATTCCTTTGAGAATAAACATTGACTGAAACTGAACAAATGTTGCTCAAAGAAACATGCCTAAATCAGAATGAAACAAAAGGAAAAAGAAGTTTAGCATTGGGTACAAATAATGAGTTACTGATAAAAGCCAATAAAGCAGTGAAAGTAGTGTAGTTCCTTTTTCCTTTTCGTTGCAACTTGTTGAGAAAAACAAAAACGTAGTTTTAGTCGTTAGCTTCAATGATTTTCATTAAAGCTTTCTATAAGCATACAGTAGGATGGTACAAATATTCCCATGGTTTATCACAGTTGTGCTAAAGAATAAGTCAAACGCCTAGTTAGAATCTTCAAAACCTGCATTAATAACAAGACAAGAAAATTAGAGAGGAAGTAAAACTAAACTACTACTTCATACTAAGTTATAGCATGAGTTAATTTTCTTTAAACTACTTTTCATGTTTATGGTGAACGTGGTTATCTTGTAACCAAAAGTCAGATACTAATTCTTGGAAATACTATATAAGAAACTGACCTCTCTTTCACAAGAAATGAGAATAGATGCGGTTTATTTTGCCCCACGTAGCCATTATTCTGCCAATATGGTTGTGAGCCGCAAATATCTATAGTTAGTGCATGGTCACAACCTCTGCAGCTGCAACAATGATGTATGAAGAAGGTTAGCAGTTGATAGAAAGAAAAAATGTAGAGAAACTAAGAAAAGGAAAGAGGGGCAAAGGACAACCTTGTTTGGGGGTGTGAGGGTAAATGTCTCGATCATCATTTTGGCTGGCAACTCCTCACAGTTTTGCTCACCTAAAAGTGTAGGGGCCCCCAAGTCAAGGATAGGATAAGGCTTGCATGACATCTCAACTAGAAACTTTATTAGGAAGAACGACATAGTCAAATCCATTGCTATCAAGAAATCTCTGAAATATTTCTACCATCAACTTCTGCACATTCAAATTAATAAGCATGAACTGACAATATAAGTACACATTCCTTGAAATGGATCTTGTGGTTAGAAATGTCTATTTGTGTGGTGAAATTAGGTGTGGTTATGTACCTAAACTATATGATCATTTAACAATTAACTAACTAATTTTCATTACAAAGACCAGTTAGAAGTACAGGTACTGAGCATATTGGACCTTGACCTTCATTAATGTTTGAAATTGTAGGAAATGCAATCAACAGAAATATTTATTGGAATTTTCTTGTTGAGGTGAATTACCTTGCTTGGTAGACCTTCTGTTCCCTCAAAATAGTCAAGTTGATCTAATGGAATAAGGATTATTGGCATTCATCAAAAGTAGTGCAAATCAGTGTAGTCATAACCATGTGAATTTGGAAACAACTCTTCTACATCAATCCTGGAACTGGAGCTTTTCTTTATTTGGTTGCAGCTAATAGACTCAACCTCTGCCAAGAATATGCTATAAACTGGCCTATGATCAGAAAATCTTGACTCTCCACGAACATATGATAATTGGTGAAGGCCCCTTCCATACCACAAGATACGATCACACCTTCATGAATATAGATTTGGTTTGTATGCATAAATAATGATACAATTTCACAATAATGATCCAGGACATTTCATTTGGCAATAGCATTGATTCACACAATTTATTTGCAAGAAAGAAGACTACCATGCTGGAGTTCTTCTCTTTTGTTTTGAGCGCCTGTCATCGCCTGCATATCGGTCTGAATTATTTGAATACTTATACGTTGGAGGGAAATATATTTTCCCTTCGTTCCATCCTTCAAAGATTCTACCTTGCCTCTGCTCTATACACAGCTGAAAGAAAAAAATATCATACGATCAGAGACATATCTAATATGGGAAAGGAGCAAAGATGAATCAGAATTACTTGTAAAGAGACAAAATAGTAACATGCCTGGTCATTCTCTAACAAAGTCTTCCAATCATGCATCTCAACAAGAGCTTTTGCTGCACGGTAAGAAAGGGCTATCCGGTAATTTAAATCCCCCAGCCAAATTATTCGACTACACCAGTTAAACAAAAAGTTTAGTTTTTAACTAGTACAAAAGTTAGCACTTAGTAGTGAATTTTATTTACATTTACAATGTCCAAGTATGAAATGCATTGTATAGATCATGAGTGGAGATGAGGGGCTTACTCATGTTCCAGAATTGTCTGAGGAGAATTCTCATCACCCATGTCGTGGACTGGGGGAAACCTTGTCTTTCTGAGAATCTCCATTACATCTGAATTTCTCCTTAACTCATCACCATCCTTTTGTCCAGAAGTCAAATGACTACAAATGAAGCAAAAGCTTGTTTGGTGCAATGACATACTAATTGATATTGATCCCTGGAAAATCCAAGACAATGAAATTGTTTCCTTCCCTAGTCCATTATAAACTCTGCTATTGAAATAGATGGTCAAATGTACCTTGTTTCCGAGATATCCCATTAACCCTCGGCCAACACAAGACACTTTCATGTTGTGAACATCATCTCTTATATCACTTTTCACCCAAACAGTTAGAAATACCCCAACCATTTGCTTGCTAGCAACCAAGCAGTATCTTGAGTGGCCTGTCTGTCTGTCACTATCCTCTGCAGAGAAACAACCACCGTATGACATCGGTGAATACTGTGCTGTAATTGGAGAGTCACCAGCGCCATTTTCTTCATCTGAGGAACCCCATCGATAATTGGGGTCATAGTCACTCGCTCTGTGACCAAATATCACTCTATCACAGACACTGAAACGACGATCAAGGCAAGCTTGTTGCATTAACATATCATTATCCATTCTCAAACTACGACTCAAGGATTGGAAGGATCTTCGTTGAAAGAAAGAGGTTGCCTTCTGCCTCACTGATCCCTCAAAATCAGCATCTAGCTCTACAATAGGATCAGGGAGGGGTGAAGGTGTGTGGCATCCTCCACTTGTTCCAGGAAGGTTGTTCAAGGTCCTCCTAATAAGGGCTAGCCATTTTCTTGCAGGACCATTGTCTTCTGTTCCCAAAACATTACCAGCATTAAGAGGTACAATTTCTTGAAATCTGAGCCAGGGAAATGCAAAATATTTCAGTATGTGAAATTTTGCGTAAGTAAAGGAGATCGAACATTATTATACAGTGAGTAATTTACCCAAGAACATAGATATCAGCTGGTGGAGAGGTGTGAAGCCAATCTTCAAGACTCAAATAACTTGGAGGTGACTTCCCTGCTACATTCCAAGTGGCAACAAAGATTCTGTATTCGAAAGGGGCGAAAAGAAGCTCAATAGGATAAAAATTCTTAAATTTCATTGCGATGGCAACAACCAGGATAATCAAGTTCTATACACAGTTGCATGAATCATACCTATAGTTATACACATCTGTAACCTGAGCTTTATCAAGGTCATTCTTACCTCTTCGCACTCTGTCCGAGTACCATCTGCTTGATCTCTCTACATATCAATAATGACATTAAACATCTGGAATTAGTAGGACGCGAAAAACTAGAAAAGAGAAAAAAAGAGAAAAAGGAAATAAATTTACAAATTACGGCTCAAAAATGTGGTATGAATAAATATCTTTTTATCCATATCTAGTAGAGGGATTTGGAATGGTGTGGTCCAAAGAGAAAAGAAGGTGAAGAAGGTATTGAACCTGATTTGCTTTTCCTGATGGTGCATGCCTCCCTCTCAGAGTAGTTGCTACTACACTCTTCATCAACCCCTGAAAAAGGAAAACCGTAAAGTTAACAAAGCTGTGCTTTTTTCAGTCATTTTAGCATCCACTCAATCAAACAAGGCAAAATAAAGCAGAATTATTTTTTATAGCAAAAGGGTGAATTAGAAACCATGGAAGCAGGAAAACAACAAAGGGTAGATCTTGTGCTGCAAGTAGCATGCGCATACCCATGGAAACAGACAAGAACAAAAATATTTTAAAATAATCGATTAGAAAACATAGAAAAATCAGTCGGACTAGAAGCAGAAGTGATGCCGTTTTTGGTTTTAAAACAAAATACTCCCATCACGAGAGCCCTAAAATGTGGATTAGATCAAAGTGGGAAAATTGATGAATCACCTTGGGAGAGAACATCATCTGCCTGAAAATCCTCAGCTTTGCTCTTGATATTAAACCACTTCTTGACCAATGTTTTTGGCCAAAAAAGCTTGAACAAGAAAAAAAGGGTAAGCAATGCCAATCCCAGAAATCAAATGCAAATGAATTTGAAGCGAGCTTGCATTTCTCAAACCTTGCTCTTCTTCGAGTTCTCATCTCTCATTGTTGGGACAAAACTCACAACTTCATGTAGCTTTCTCTGTCCAGAAACAAAGCCACTCAATTACAGTCACAAAATGTATTCCTTCTTTCAATCAACACTCCTCCTTTCTGAGGTTATGCTCACACACCAAAATGGAGATTGTGAAAGTCATAAGACAAGTCTATCCACGGGGACAGGACAACCTTAATTTCTGTTGACTTTCACCTTTTGGTATATGTTTCTCTATTCAAACAGATAAAAAAAAGGGAGGGAAAAATGTCTTGTGGTGATGATAGCAATGTGATGAAGTTAAAGAACGTGAAGAATGAAGAGATGATTAAGTGCTGCCCCAGTTGTGAAGTTTAAGGTTTTGAGGGGAGAGAGGAAGAAGAAGACAATGTAGAAGACATGAAGAAAGAGAGAGTTTTGGAGGAACCTCGTTGAGGTACAGAGAGGAAAGCAACAAAAAATTGAACAGAGAGTGAATGAAAGCAAGTTGGAGTCTCTGTTCAGGACTTTCACTTACCGCAAATACAAGGCTTACCTCACCCACCCAACAAAACACAACCTGCAACTACGTTTGCTTATATATTGCTAATGCTCACATTCCTTCATCGATCTTCTCAAATGATTCAATACTTCAATTCTTTTTAAAGATTTTTAAGAAGAAAAAATAAAATATAATTGAAATTAGTCTTTTTACAAGTTAAAATTATATATAAATATTTTAAATATTTATTTTTGTCTTGTTCATCTCATAGTGAAAATACTTCACAAATTTAGTTCAGGATTGAATAATGTTGAGTGGTGTTGTAATAACCTTTAATGAACACATTAAATATCATTAATTACTCTATTATAAATTTTAAAAATGTAAGCATGTGTAACTTAGTGATTGGTCATTTAATAATTTTTCATATTCCAATCTTGATTTGAGAATAAAGTCGCAATTCAAGATATAATGTAATGGACTTCATAAAAGGGAGATTAATTAAGGATATAATTTGAAAACTTTATATACTTGGAGATTATAGAAGAAGACAATCTGCATTGATTATGACTTGTATCTGTATGAAAAAAGTGTTTATTTGCATTAAAGAGAAATTAACACCTTAATGTCTTGTTAAATGGTATACTAACAATTCTAGGTAAGAAAATTGAAACAAATATTTCATTGGAATTTACATTAAAAGTTACTAGAAATCTCAATGTATCATTAAGGAATCAGGAAGTGTTAGATTTGAATTTCATGAACATGACATGGTTTGAAGACTAAGTTAAGAGATTAGATTAGAAGTGAAGAGTATAGTTTGAAATATACATGACTGGTAGTTGTGGCAGAGACAGTAAAGTTAGGTTTGATCTTAATATAACAAGTTGGTGATGTAGGAGAAAGCAGTTAAAGAGGAGAAAAGATAAAGAGGCATGTGTGGAGATTGTTTTCCTCTTCTTCTTCCTTCTTTAACTTCTCTCCATGTTTTCACATTGTCTTCAATATAAACGACAAAAATCAAATCTATCTTTCTCTGTCCAACCAATTTTTTCCTTATTATTTGGTTGGTAAAATTCCATGGGGGGTTTGAATCTACCTTGTTTGAGACAAAGTATGTTATATCTTGTAAACATAGTGTGTGTGTGAGGTGGCATAGTCCAAGAGAATGTTTCGTGTTTTACGGAAAAGTGTAGAACTACTTATGTTTCCAATGCCACACCATTTGTAATTTCATGAGTTTTGTTATGTTATCTCTTGGTGTGTGTTGGGGTTGGCAAATTCAAAGGACTCATTGGTTCTACAAGTTATATGTCTCCTCAAAAACTTCATTCCTTGCTTTTTGAAGGAAATATTATTAAGCAAATGAAACTTTGCCTTTTGTTTTTGTGTGAACCTCATCATGTCCAAGAAGACAAAAGCCAGTTTTCTCATTTTGCACAAGCACATGGATTAGTGTATTATGCTTTGCATGAGGTGACGCATCCTTCATCATGCTAAAATGCATGTTTATATCTTCTTATTCCTCGTTCAATTATAATATTTACTTTAAAACATATATATATCTAAAATGAACTTTAGTGAGTTAATATTTTTACCCTATAAAATACTATCTTGTTGGGCCATAGCGATTGAAGTCCCACATAAAAATGATGTTTCTACTAACCCACGTGAAAATATGCGATTTCCTTGACCTAAGTGAAACCATGTATCTAGAAAATCATAGTTTATGAGATCACTGTTTTCAATGAGCTTTTTGCATATTTTAATAAGAACTGGGTGGGAAGTTTTGATGTTAAAAACTTAAAATGAAGAATTTATTTAAGGGGAAAGATTGAGAGAAGGCCAAGTGAATGTTTGGGTTGGAATTTGAAATGAAGGCAACATAGTGACCCACTAGTTTGAGTGAAGGTTCCACTACCACCATATAAGCCTTACCCCCAATAGTGCATAGGTTGTCAAGACCAGTACATGTGGTTCTCCCAGAATACCCTGTTTTCCTAACTATACGTGTCGTGTCCTTTCACCTTATCATATCATATGATTACACTTTCGGACAAAAACAATACACTCAATATTATTTTCTTCACAAATATTCTCTCTATTTCATCTCTTTTTAAACCCAAACACTTAATATCTACACACTCTTTCACTTCTTTCTTCTAAAACACCTAACAAATGCTATAAGAATAACAAAAACTATACCCCTTTTCATTTGCTCAATATTTAACTATAGCTTATATACCTTTATACGGCTATCTAGTCAAAATATTCATATATTTGTGATTAAATTACAGAAAAAAAAAAAAGAGTTGCGTAGAAAAAGCACGCAACTTTTTCAATCATTAAGTATAACTTAGATTTGTTTCTCTTACTCTATACGAGGTTGTTTGTCGTAACAGTGTTAAAAGAAAATGGTTTTTTTTTTTGGTGTAAATTATCTGAGGAATCATTGACGGAGCATTAAGTTAGAAAGTCAAAAGTTTTGATTTGGGAAATGGGAGTTCTTAAGTGTTTGATAATGTTGACTAGGAATGATGATGTGTATAGGTGAATCCGACAGGTGAAAGGTCACCATTGCATATTTTCTCCTTTTTTTTTCAATGTTCCCTTCATAATAGTGGCAATGATGCTTACAAGAAAGGGCAGTATCAAAATTAAATATGAATGGGCCCAATTCATGGAATGCATAACTAAAGGGGATATGGTTTACCCTACAATTTGAATCTTCTAAATTGCCTAGGGAAAGGTTGCTGCCTAGTAGATACTACATTGTCAAAAAGATTGGGGCACCCTATTATTGGATTCAATAATGAAATATTAGTATATCTGTTATCATTCATAAGGCTTCTTCATTCCTTCCTTTTCTGATTTACACTTCACAACACCCATTGGATCCACCCCACTCACATTAAAATCAAATGCCTCTCAATCACTTCATTATGTTCATTAAAATACTAAAACAAAAACTATTTCCATTTTATTATGGGAAACTCCATCGTCAGTTCACTGCTTCTAATGTTTCTTTCTTAAAAAATAGAGATATGTTCATTCGAAAAAAAAAATTGATCTTATTGATAGATTTGCATACAAGTAACAAGATTCTATGAGTGATCTGAGAATTTTTGTTAGTTGGAATAGAATTTTTTTTTGTTTAAAAAAAATTCACTTATAAAAGACTTTTAACGATTAACTTAGTAAGAGAGTTTAGGATCTTTATGAATACAGTAGGTACGAAACATTATAAAGTAAGTAAGTAAGATAATGATAGCCTAAATAATAATCATAATATCAAAATGTCCAAATTAATTATGATATGTAGATATTGTCCCAATAGATATAGGTTTGGACGAATCCAAAATGAAAAAACTTAATGAATATGATTGAGTCGTACTCTTTAATAAGTCTATTGAACTTAATAAAAAAAAAATTAAATATTTTTTACAAATGAAAAAAGTTAAATATTGTTTTAACCTTTAAACTCGACATAAAATTAAAATTTATTATTATATTTTAAATTTTGATGCACTTTAGTTTCTAAACTTTAAAAATAAATACATATATTTTTTAAATGCTTTAATTGTGTTAAATCTCGTTAGTGTTTCATGTGTTTATACTATTTAATACATTTCAATTCATACGTAGATTTAGAAAATGATTGGATAGAAAGAAAACTTAATTTGGTTTATTAATCTAAGAAGAAGAAAACATATTTAAGTTTTGAAAAAATAATTAAAGTGTAGTAAGTTGATTAATAGATTGTGAGGAATGAGGTAAAAAAATGGTTGATAGAGAAACGAGGCAGTCAAAGAAGGATATTTAATCGTACTTTAACTAAAGCAAGTTAGATCTATAGGATAGGATGATGCCCTTTCTATTTCTTTTGCTTTTGCAGCTTTCAAAAATCTATTGTTATTATCGTACTTTCCTTTTCTCCATCATCCTCTTAGCCACTTCATATGAGAAGGTGTCAAATTAGGTTTTCAATTATTTATTTTTTCCCTTTTGTCCTTCACAATTTATTTTGCTGTCATTTTCTTAACAATCTGGCAAAGGAGAGATGTAACTGCTACTGTTGTACACTCGCACTTGGTCATATAGATGTAAACATCGTCGCTTTTACTTTCTCAACTATATTTTTATATATTCATATGTCCTTACAGTACAAAATATTAATCACCTTATGGACCATGGACCACCACAATACTTAATTCTTTCCCACTCCTAATTTTTTTTATTTAAAAAATATTTTTATAACATACTATCCAACAAAACGTGATTGGTAAGTATTCTGAATTTTTAACATACTGTCAGTAATTTTTTTCTTTCTATATTAAGTATATGGTAAGAATTAAATAACATAAGAAAGTTGTGATCTCATATATACAGGTTTACTCATCCAGTTAAATTATATATTAATTGTGTTAATTAATCGTAGGGATTTTGTTGTTAAAGATAAAATTCATTTTAACAATCTTATATATAAAAATAATAATTTTAACTGTATATTGAGAAGAGAATGTGTTGAAACGGGATTAAAAATATTTTATTGATTAAAAAAATAAGACATATTTCTCCAGCTATGAAGGTATTATTCCTCCTTCATAAATATTCTTTTATAGGTGAATCAAAATTTGGACTTATTATTGCTCAATCATGGGAATCATTACCTGAACCCATTTGTGTACATTTTTTCTTTCTTTAAATCTGAATCATTTATTTATCTGAATAATGGAAAACAGACTATACAGTTGCAAGGGACATTTTTTTTTGGCACTCTTTGTCAATTTAAGATTATTTATCTTTATTTAATTGTACTCAAAGGTATTGATTTCATAATGAATCAAATGGTAGGTGCATTTAATTTGTACGTGCACATATTTAGATGAATAATAATGAATCACAATATTTTGGAAGAGTGGCATCAATCAAGAGAGAGAAAAGGTTGAGACTGGTTTAAAAAATCTCTTAGATAAGAGAGAGTTTATGGTAGGTACATTATATAATACATAATTATGAGCTATTCAAAGTGGTTTGAGGGATATATAACA